ACAGCAATTCATTATTTAACGAATATCGGTGCAACCGTGAACGCAGTCGGCCGCGTACGCGGCGTGGATCAAATCCGTCACGGACAACGTCAACGTCGTGACATGAGTAAGATCATAATCTGGTCTGTGTGACAAATCATCAGCCAAAACATTTTGCTTCCCTGGCTTATACTCCATCTCGAAATTTTAATCTGCAAAGAAGAAGAGCCATCTGAACATCGTGAGGCGGCCGAGCCGCAGGGCATAGTGACGCATGATCTGTGTAGATCACGATTGGCTTGAAGCCGAGCAGGTGAATTCTGAACTTGACAACTGCATACTTCATGCTAGTATTTGCTTGCCGTGAACTATGTAGATCTTCTCTGCAGCCTTGAGCTGACGCGATTCGAACGCGATCACCTAGTCTCGCCCCTCGGTGTCTGTGCACAGCCGATGGCAAAGTCCGAAGCGTCTCATACGATACTAAAGGACGGTAAGGGTAGAATAACGCCAGTATTGTTACATGAAGGAGGCTGTCTTTGACCCTGTCAAAAGCCTCACGATGCTCGGCGTCCCATCACCATTCCGTATCCTTCTTAAGACTATTCGACATTAGCCGTGCCTCTTCCGCATATTTTGTGCCGTACTTGTGCAAGTAGTTGGCAGGGCCAAGCCACCTGCGCAAGTCCTTTTGGCTCCTTGGCAGTTACAATGGCCTTGATTTTAGCGGCATCCGCTCGAACGCCACACTTCCCAATGAAAAACCCTAGAATGGGGATTTTTGAAGCGCCGAAGATGCACTTATCTGCATTAGCATACCGCTTATTCGTGCGCATGCACTTGAGCACAGCGATGAAATAGATGATGTGGTTTTTCTCATCTGTCCTCTCGTGACCCGCATGACTGTGGACGAAGATGTCGCTGAAATATGTCTGTGCATTCGTCCGATGGGGGCTAAACAGTTACGTCACAAGACGATAATATGTTGCGGGTGCATTTGACAGTCCTTGGAGCATCACCAGCCACTTCCAGAGCATCCCGCTCGGAGAACTCAGCACAGTCAGCGGGATATCACTCTCATTCTCATGAGAAACGGGTAATAACCTTCGACCCAGTCGATTGCGCTGTACTTTGTACAGCCAACCATTTTGTTCTGGAGAAATCTATTTTAGGAATTGTCGTTTGTACTGGAATGGTAGCGGCATTTAGCTTATTATAAGCGTGACCGATACGCCACTTTCCGTTTGGCTTCTGGACACAAAACGTGGTTGTCGAATGAATCCTGCCTCGTGCTTCGCACGGCAAAAGGTGTCAATATCGTCACACTACTTCTTGGGCAGGGGCCTTTGGCGTGCTTCGCAGTATTTGGTGTCCGAAACCAGGTCAATTTCATGACGGATACCTCGTTCCGGAGGCAGGACCGACGACAGGTCTTTGGAGACGACATCTTAAAATTCCTTCACCAAAGAATTGTACAAATTTTAGGGATTCGTCAGGATTGAAGATCCACTTCGTGCGCTCAGCTCCCTCTTGGTGTTCTCCAGGACAGCTTCATCCAGAAGTGACGACGAGTTGATATCCTCGTCCAGTCGTATAATGACAACTCGGCTAAATTGGCTGCCTTCAAGGCACCACCAAACCCTTCAAAGGACATTTCGTCCACCTCAAAAAGAGCAGCTACCGCGGGAATAGCCTCAAGCTAACGTCGCCGTCTTCCTCTCCCGTCATACCGCTGACAACGGTATATAGCTGTGAGCTATAGTCTACGGTAGACACACTCTGGGTCAGGGTCGTCTTGCAGGTTTCGCCTTCTCTCTCTCTTTAGAGATTTATCGTTTCGTCGAGACCAGTGGGAATACACCCTCAGCGGTGTCCAGTATCCCCACTCCTTGCTTGATCGGGGCCTTGATGTTATTAACATAATTCGATGAAGAGCTGCAAGCTTTGCAGTCTCTGTCCAGTGGATAACGCGCCACTCCATACCCATCTGTAGGGACTTGCCTAAGATGCATCGGACCTCGTCCGACCGTGCCACTTGTAGCATGCAGCGACTGCTTCTAGACGTGAGCAGTGCTCAAAGGATTACGTGCAACTCCATGTGCATCCCTGGGGGCTCGCTCTCGATGCCTCGGCCGTTGGCCGACCATACCACGCATGGCATGCAGCGACTGCTCCGATGCGCTCAGGGGGTTAGGTGCCAGTCCACGTCAGCCCACGGGACTCCTGCTTGATACACCTTCGGTGTTTACCAATTCGGATACTCCGATCTCTAGCACGTTGACCGTCTTGGTCCAGTGCTCGCGCCAATAGCGCTTTTGCTTTCAAGCAGGGGTGGATTCATGACTCACCGAAGCTTCACTAGGAGACGTGCGCGTAGCACCCAAGGTCTTCGATCTTCAATCAACCCATGGCTCAAGGTGTTCCATCCACGCCATACCAAGGATGAGGTCATACCTTGATTCCAAGTCAAAGACTAAGCAGCGATCCACACTATCAAAGCCAAGACATTTCATTTGACACGAAGGCCCACAGGGACCCTTGGCACAAATACACAAGTCTTCGTCGCTATGCGAACAGTGACAATGTCACCCAACCGCGCCTTCAGCGCTTCAGCATACACCTGACTTCCTTTGATCGCAAAGCGTCGAGCATAATTGCCCGACGCGCAAGAATCGATCAGAATTTATCAAAGCCCTTCACGGTCGCTGTCACGACCAGCAGACCCGGCTTGCATATACGTTCCGTGTTCAAGAGAACGGAGCTCTTCGGGTTTGGGACCTGCTGACCTCTACCTCCTTGAGGCTCAACAGAAATCAGTTCTTCCCCAGTAGGCGTCCCCGCGCCTACTGGCCGTTGTAGTTTCCCCGCGACAAACCAGAATACTAGTGAGAAGCGGGACGTCGAGTCGATCAGCCTTAACGCGCCTTGCACATGGGACAACCAATCCAAAGGTGACGGATTTTTCTACAGACAAAACACCGTCGGGTTTTCGGACGCTGCTCGGCAGCTCGTAGCTCTGCCCTCTCGTCCTCAGTATAGCTAAGATCCATTGTCTCAGGCCCGCTTGACGAGCTGCTAGGGTGTGCATTCCAACAAAGTCATGTCGACTTAAAGCTGAATTCGGCATTCAATTCCACAATCACCGCTTCTTCAGAAGAAGACGAGTGCAAACGGAAGCCTTCCATTCTAACCACACTAGTGCGGAGGCCCTTCATAAAGACGTTCACTGTGACCGCCTCGGGAAGAGGATCGGCTGCCGAACCGGCAATGAGAGTGCGCAACTCTTGGACAAAGTCCATTAACTGCTTCTTGCCCTGTCGAGCAGCAAGGATACGCGATCACACCCGATATGCCTTGTTAGGCGGTGAGAACACTCGTAAAAGCTGCAGGATCAAATGCGTCCAGTTGGAAATGCCGCTTCAACCTAAGTGCCGCACGTCAGTGACCATTCTAGCGCTCGACCCTCGAGCTAAAAGATAGCTAGCGCCACGCGCTGTTGCTCGGTCTGGCGTATGGCAGAAGCTGTAGCCATCTCAGCCTCTGCAGGAGATTCTCTCCATTCTTACCCTCGAAAGACTTAACGCTTGCCATGAGCAGCCTTGGTCGGGAGGAGTCATCCATCGTCGACGGGCGTCATGGACGCAGTCGATGTCGACGTTTTATTCTCTAGGTGCTTTAGTAGCGCATTTTCATAGCTTGTAAACGCCTCTAGGCGCTTGTCGCTTCAGGTCCTTGCGAAGCGATGTGTCTCACACCTTCGGGGCCAAGCAAAGACATCAGCTTTTAAGCCCGTCCTGCATGCCCTGGGCCAAACAGGATAACTACTACATCCTCAGGGAGGGTCAGCCGTAATGAATCATGTGTAGATTGATTGACTACAAGTGTTACCAAGTGCAGCTGGGCTGTCATAGCTCTTTCGCTTAGAGGAATTTTTGTTAAGGTCTGTGACATCCGTTCTATACTTAGAACCCATACGTGCGTAGCGTATCGCAATTTACTTACTCCAAGAGCAATCATTACCTCAACCCAAGGCTGTTTAAGTCTTCCATAAAAAAACAAACTGTACTTCTCGGATTATTTGCGGCAAAGGTGCCTATACCAAAATCTATAGGTCTTTTTAATAAAATATAACCATTGGCTGTTTAAGGCCCGTCCCGACTTGTTGTTTAAGTGTACTCACATCATTGTGTGGTCACGCCATCTTGTGTAATCCACACCATCTGGTGCAACCTTTACGACTTGCTACCAGGTGTAAGAGGGCAGTCCCTCAAGCACAGCACACACACTTGTGCGACGACAAAGCGATATTCGGCTCGACTTAGATGCAGAAAGATTTTGTTGAGGGCTTGAAGGCAAATTTGCGACCAGATTAAAAAAATATTTTCTAGATCTACATTCAAACACTCCAAGAGCTTCTAAATGGTTTACTAATAGCAGCTCGGGCTGCTTTAGATCTGATTGATTGTATTGAATGCAAACCCAAGCTTAAACTTGTCCACAATCCAGGGGTGTAAAACGTATGAACTTCGAAAAGTTTGAGCTCGAACAATCGTGGAAAGTTCACAGCAGAAGTGGCCACCAACTTCAAAAGACAGCGATACGTTGGTCTCATTACCGGTACAAATCCCTGAGTTAAACCAGAATGTTTGTGACTTCATAGAAGATGTCACATTTGCATGTGGGGACAGCATACTGTAATCCCTTTGCTATAATTTTCTTACCATTTCTATTATAATTGTAGTATATGTCTAAATGTATAATTACAAAAAAAAGAAATTTGCAAGAGTTATTAACTTTAGATGCTCTCGGCTTCAATCCTGAATGGAGAGTACGAGCCCCACCTCTGTGTATGTCAGTACCAACTCTATGAATCAACTTTCCGCAGCGTAAAGTGCTCCCGCACTCGTCATCTTTATTGGAGCCGATGCTTTGGTCGCTCTTAATGATCACAATTAGACAGGTATTTTGTGAAATTCATACAATTCTACAAGATTGTAATTACTATTAAATTACTTTACATTATGTTCCCAGTACACAAATTCTCTAAGCTCATAAATAATGTATTTGCTTCAATACAAAACCCTTTTCAGTGCATAGTGTGGGGCAAGACAAAGTGTAACGTTATCGGTCACCCTTGAAGGGAACGGCATGTCTTTGTCCGCGTCTCATTCTGACTCAGGAAATGCTCAGCGCATGGCTTGCGTAAATGCACGTCGTGATAAGCGGAAGCCACTAAATACTGATGTAGGGCATGGTACGACCGCGATTTTTGTGTGAAAACAATGTATGGAATAGTGTTACGGTCGTATTTTAATTTTGAAATTGTATATTTATTAAGAGAGAATAAAAAAAATGCCCCAACTTTTGCCATATATATAAAAAATATCCCAACTTTTCAAAAAATAAAAAAATACCCCAGCACGTAAATTATCACCGGACAGCCGTAATATTACACAACATAAGATGTATTGTATTAGGAATGAATGAGCATAATTTAACAAAATACCCCACAATAACA